ACAAAGCTGTACAAGAACTTGCAGAATATGATGGATATATTACCACACAGTTCGAAGCCCACCAGGGTCAAGGTTGATTCAGCCTTCCATCCTTTTGAGGTGGGTAAAATGAGGACCCAGATTGTTAGGGGCAATATGCTGGTTCTGCAAATTACTTAGAGAGAGCTGTAAAGCAGTATATAAGTCTTATTACTATTATGGCTCTTACTGAGCAATTCTTTACCAGACGCATGGAATTCTGGGGGATTTTGCGACTTGTTATCCTAGCACATCAGGCAGGTATCACATTCTGGAGAAGGTGACCTTGAGGGATAAGCCCTCCAAGTCTCGGAGGCAAATGAACTGAACTTTGGATGTGCCTCTTCCAACCCCAGTTGTTGCTCTTTCAGCTTCAGTGTTGCGGTGTCCAGAACTACACTGACTGGACTGGGACCGAGTGGTTCAACACTAAAGGAAACCACACTTTTCCTCTGAGTTGCTGCAAGCAAGGTCCAACTTCCAAGAATTGCACAGGACAACTAAGTGAGAAGGATCTTCTCAACACCCAAGTAAGAGCATTCAGACTTTGCTTGAGTTTGACCGAAGCTTGTTGGAAACAAGAATTTAAATTGTATGAACCAGCTTCCTGCAGTGGTTATTTATTTATTTTTTGCTTGGCTGTCTGTGTTTACTTATCTTATTCTGGAATATATATTTCCTGCTTCATGTGCAAAATTTCTCTGCCTACGTGTATGTGGAGATTCTCAGTCATCCAGGCCATGGTTGTCTCAAAGGTGTTTTTTTTTTTTTTTTCAAAAGACAACCGGACTATGTTTTTAAGAGCCGTGGTGGTGCAATGGTTAGCATGCGCTATTGCAGGCTGACTCTGCCCACTGCCAGGCATTCGATCCTGACCAGGTTGATTCAGCCTTCCATTCTTTCGAGGTTGATAAAATGAGGACCCAGATTGTTGGGGGCAATATGCTGACTCTGTAAACCATTTAAAACACTGTGAAGCAGTATATAAGTCTAAGTGTTATTGCTGTTTTTTTCCCTTGAGGAAAAAGAGGCTTCTAATCCAAGAAGCTTCAGCAGTTCTGGCTAGACAGTGGTGGTGGTGGGGAAATGGAAGGATTAGTTCTGACAGGATTTGTCTTTGCAGTCATTCATATGGGTGTTTGTGGAATATATATATATATTTGCAAGGAATATAATACCTTCTATCAGAACTAATTCTTCCATTCCTCCCACCACCATCCAGCCAGAACTGATGAAGCTTCCTGGATGAGAAGCAAAATGTCTGCTTCTTACTCAAGGGTCAAAAACACAATCCAGTTGCCTTTTGAAAAAGCACCTATGAGAGTCCTCTCCCTACATTTACTTTGAAGAAAACTCTTTGTCTAGCAGTGCTTTCATATTTATGGATTGAGCTGGTGAAAACCAATGGTATGCTATCATTAACTGGTGGAATTTACTGCCCCAAGATAGAGTTTCATCTACTTTGAGAGGAATAGAATAATCTAAACCATGGGTGTCAAACTCAGTTTCATTGAGGGGGGCATTACAGTTGTGTTTGACCTCAGGGGGCAGGGTGGGCGTGGCCAGCTTGATGTCACTCGTGTCGGGGGCGCCTGTGGTGGCCTGAGCACTCTTCCAGTGAAAACAGGATCCCGAGCTCTGTTTTTGGCTGCGATGGCTTCCTGCAACCCTCTGCCAGCGAAAACTGAGCTTGGGAGGGCCGCCTGTCGCCTTCACATGCTTCATTTTTGCTGGCAGAGGCACTGCGAGCTGGTCCTTTGCTGTTTCCAGGATGGCCCACAGGCCAGATTTAAGCACCACGCAGATCAGATTCGGCCCCTGGGCCTTGAGTTTGACATCCCTATTCTAAACTCAAGAACGACAAATGGTGATTTTCCAAGCTGAGTCCTTTATTGTTCTCACACCTATAGACAAAATCTTGAAAGATGTAGACTCTATTATCTGCATCTACAATATACTCTGGGAATTATAAAAGGGGGAATTATTAGTGTTCATCCTCTTTCTATCACACATAATATCTGGGCTGAGTTGCCTCTTATTCCTCTGGAATGCACCCTCTCCCTCCTTAGGATCCACTTCCTCATTGCAGTCTGTCATCAAGTCTCTGATTGGCTACTGTGAAAAATATAGGAATGGACTAGATCTGTGTTTCTCAGCCTTGGCAGCTCTTAAGATGAGTAGGCTTCAACTCATGGCTGGCTGCAAAATTCTGGGAATTAAAGTCCATCCATCTTAAAGTTGCCAAAGATGAAAACATTGTACACTAGATGAACTTCTGGGTAGGTCCAGAGGCCTTGTGCCCTTATCCTTATAGAGCCGTGGTGACGCAGGTGGTTAGAATGCAGTACTTCAGGCTAACTCACTGCTCACTCCAGCAGTTCAATTCTGAGCGGCTCAAGGTTGACTCATCCATCCTTCCGAGGTCAGTATAATGAGGACCCAGATTGTTGGGGGCAACATGCTGATTCTGTAAACTGCTTAGAGAGGGCTGTAGAGCCCTATGAAGTGGTACAGTGTATAAGTCTTAAGGGCTATTGCTATCTTTTTACCAAGTTCTTGAACAAAACTCTTTGAACTTCTCAACAAAGCTCTTTGTACTTATGTGATCAGTTCTTCCCCATTATCTCCCCTCACTACAGGGCTGTGAAAAGATAGTAAATCTTGGTGACCTGCTCAACTACGCGATGCTCATTGTCTTGGCTTTTGCCATTGTGAAGGTATGTGTGATTGCCAAGTTTGAGCATGCTTCTGAGTTGGGTTTATTGTTCAAAGGACATCCGGGGACTGGAAAGAAATAACTGCATGACGGACATGAAATGGTCCCAATCCACTTTCAATCTGAATGGCCTCCTCTTCTCGTTCCCATCCTGATTTGGAATAAACAAAACAAAAAACAAAAAAACAAACAAAAGAAAAACAATAACACCCCAAATTGGCTGTTTCTGTCCAGATGATAGTGATCTTGGAGGCTTCCTGCAATCTCAAGGGTTTCATAGATGGTTGCTAAAGAAACATGGCCTGATCCTACCAGTCCCTTCTAATGTTGTTTTGATTCTAAAGGTTTTTGTCTTTTTATTTGCTCAATTGAAAACTCCACCTTCCAGATTAAGTGGAACATTCCAAGGGCTCTTCCCTTCCCTTCAAGTGTTTAAGCAATAAACACTCATTCAATTATATTTCTATCTCTGCCTTTTCTAACCTAATAGGTGTCTTTCCAGGGAGAGTTACGAAAGTGATTAATTATTTGCTTGGTTCTTCCATTATGAGTAATCACACCTAGCCCTAATCCACAAATAGCCAGTGGTTTCTTAACGTAGAGTTCATGCAGTATTTATTTTATTAGCCATGATTTACAAACCATGCCATCTAGCACCATACTACATTCCTTGCTAAGTCCTGGTTGTTGAATAAACTGTAATGGACTGAATCCAAACAGTACATCAGGCTACAAACCTTGGTTAGAAACTATATTATGCAGTAAGCCAAAACTAAGCAAGTTATGGAATCAACCCCACTATTAAATTGTTTGCATCATTGCTTTGGTGTTAACCTGGACCTGCAGGCAAGTTAAAAAAAAAAAACGACTGCATAATATTTTGGAGTCCAATTTAGTGCCTTTTGATTGGTCCTGAAGAAGTGGGAAGACAAACTGTATCCCTCCAGACATTTTGGTCTATGGATCCCATTGAGCACCTCCATGGCACTTCTGTTGTTTTATTATGAAGCCAGAAACATCTGGAGAACATCAGGTTGTTTAGCCCTGAATTAAAACTACCTGGGTATTCTCCACTCAGTTCCCCGCTTGATGTGTTGCACACCAAGGATTGTGCTAACTGGAATGGATAGAGCACATACAGATAGTCCTTGCCTTATGACCGTAGTGGAGCTTGCTCATCGTGTTCGTAAGTCGTGATGATCATAAAACAGGTCAGTCACGTGACCAGACTGATTTTACAATCTTTTATGAACACCATGGTTGTTTAGTAAGCCATTGGTTTGCTTTAGGCCAGTTTAGCACCAAACTGGAAGTAAATGGTTGCCGAGTAACCAGCATGTGGTCACATGACCGCAGGGGAGCTTTGGAACTTCAAATCTAGGTTGTGGGTACCTCCCCCAAAGGAGGTGCATCGGAACTTCCAACGGTTGCTAAGCAACTGGTCATAAGTTGAGGACCACCTATAATCCAGAATATCTAGAGGACACTCAGAAGGACAACACTGAATTTGATAGAGAAATGAGAATTAATAGATGTGGAGAGAATGTTAAGGGGCAGATTTCAGAGAAGACCAATCTATTTTCAAACTGTAGATTTTGTAAAAGTTGCCACGTATGGGGTCCTTCGTGGTCTCTGAGCTTGATGGCTTTCTTATAAGCGTTTCATTACCAAACTAGGTAACATCACCAGTGCTGTCTAAAACTAAATCTCAGAATCAAAGAGGCCCCGGAGTCTGAATGGGCGGTCAACATGTCCAGCCATCCACTATCTATTGCAAAACACAATATTTTACAAAGAGGCCTCCACTTCAGTACACTAATGCTAATCCACTAGAATTCTAGAAGGAACATTTAAAACCAGTAGCCCTGATGATGTTATCTAGTTTGGTAGTGAAATGTCTGCAAGAAAAGCTGCCAAGCTCAGAAAGCATCAAGCACCCTACAGTTTAACCCCTGACCTAACAAATATTCTCTTCGAGCTATGTATGCAGACTGAAAGATTAATAACTGTGGGGGGTTTTTTCATTTCAGTTTTTTGGAATGCTGGGAATCTGCATGTTGGCCTGCAAGAAGGAAAACCAAGGGTATCAGTCCTTGAGCACCGGAGTGTTTGCCTGACCAAGAAATAGAGGACTTTTCCTTTTGGGATCTCCATGAACAAAAATGGAATGATGTCTTGAGTAGAAAGAATTAACCTACTTTTTATGAAATCCCAAATGAGATTACACTGGTTTTCGGAAGTCATATTAAAGGTGAAATAGTTGGCATTAACATCCTGATTAAGCCTGAGATTTGTCTGATGTAGTTGAAATTAAGGTGCCCTTTTTTAAACAGCAGATGGAGACATTCACCAGAAAAGGCAGACCAACGCCTGCGATTTCAGTGTCTGATATAATTCGTGAATCTATCTTTGAATAGACTTTAAAAAAAAATTCTGCCCAAGAAACACTTTTTCCCAGATTGGCTGGGCCATTGGCATATGGTAAAGAGCTAGGTGTTTATAGCAACTCTCTAAAATCCAGTGGAAATGGCTAAATGTTAGACATGTTGAAATCCACTCTGAGGTAAATGTTGAGAACATAGCATGCCTTGGATTGAAGCTGGACTCTTCTCCCAAGAAAAAGTGCTGGTATGAATGCTGAGAATTGCATTTTCTCTAGACTGACATTTTCTGGAGTAATTTGGGAGATTTACACTTAGGCAGATTTCATCTGGGAGTGATCAGCTTTCCTAACAGAATATCCATTACATTTCTGATCATGTAAATTCTTTTGCTCAGAAGTTGAGTTAGGTCAGAAATGCATAAAGGTTCCTAATCTTTTTTTTTTTAGCTCATGATGTTCAGTGTTGAATTCTGGTGGTAAAGATCCCCCAAATTGACAATTCATATAGGGGAAGCACAATGAATTTGTAACATAATCCCTAAAATAGGCTTCAGACTTGAAGCGGGGAGTGTCCACCCTTGGTAGCTTTAAAAATTTGTGGACTTCAACTTCCAGAATTCCCCAACCACCTACGATTGCTGGAGAATTCTGAGAGTTGAAGTCCACAAGTCTTGTGAAGGTTGGACATGCCCGTTTTACTCTGCTCTAAATATCAATCATAGCCTTATCTCTGAAAAAAATATATTTATTCCTTGTTACCACTGCATCCTTAGTTCTGGTCTGTCAAAACGAAGTACAATTCCCATCTATAAATTTGTTGAGCTACAGAACAAAATTAGAGTTGCTGGAATCCTTCAGAAGTCATGGTTTAATTACGTATTCCCAGCCATATCTGCATGGAGTAGTTATGTATTCCAGAAACACCAGGTTAGAGAAGGCTGATCTAGGTGTATGTGATTTGATTTTTTTTTTTTAGTCTGTATTCACTGGATGCTCCAGTTTGAATCCAATCTATTTTTGGCCCAATAATCCAGTATGCACTGCAGTTGAGTAAAATTTCAGGATGTGCCTGGAAATATATTAAAACTGTGATGCTACTTTCATTCCAATATTATTCTGCATTCTTGGATGGCATTAAAACAATTTCTCCAGATGAAGGATGTTGACTTGCTGGGGCACAAACAGATATATTCTTCATTTTTTGTCCTCTTGTTTTTGTAAGCAGAGAAACAACTTACATAGCATATGTGTTGCTGGAGGGAAAAGCAACATTTTTGGTTTTTCAAACCATTTCTCTTTAATTGTTGAGTATTGTATGAATACTTTACATAAAGAGCCTCCTGAAACCTAAATAAAATACTTCAAAAAAAAAGTACAGCATTTTATTTCATTTGAAAATAACAGGAGAACTGAAATAGCCAGAGTGTAAAATAGTAACACAAGGACACTTAAGATGTTTTGTTTGAACTTGATTTCTGATTACTTCACAGGCAATGTTGAAAATATGGAAGGACTTTGCTAGTGTCCTGTTTTGGAATTATTTCCTCTCCCCTCCATTTTTAATGCATTTTCTGGGTTTCTATTGTACATAGAATGGCAGAAATATTAAATGACTTTTCTACAATTTGCTGTGGAATTCAACTACCACATACAATAAAGTCTCTTAAGATGAATTTAGGCCCTTCCGATTCCACTTACACTTCCATGGAGCTGGCAGTATTGGTGCTGTGTACCAGTAATTACTCCCTTCTTGAATTTTTTAAAAAAATATCCCAGCCTAATCTTGAGTTCTGGAATCACTTGGTGGTCTCCCATCCAAGTGCCAATCAGGGCCATCATGAGTTTCAGAATCCAGCCAAGATCTGCCAGGAACAGAACTATGAGGATCAGGAAAGAGAAGCCTGACTATCCTATTACAGCAAATTCCTGGATCTTTCCACTTGCTTTGCTAAGGTTGCATTCATACAACCCATGATTGAAACAGTCCTTATGTATAAGGACCTACGCGTAAAACGTCAAACCACAAGCTATCCAATGAATTGCAAAAGCATAAATGACACAAAAGACCCGGTTAAAACGAACGAACTATATTGAGTGAACGCAAGACTAGAATTTTTTGTTTAACCTTATGTGTGTTGGAGTCCAGTTTACATCTAAGAACTGCTCTGAATGGTTTTGCTAAGCTTTCCAAATAACGTGGAAACTGGTTATGAGCAAATGATCATTGGGCTTCAGCCCTCTCTTTGCTTGAATACTAGAACCATTGCATTCCCAGTTTCATCCCACACTTCAGGCTTCCATTCAGCTACAACTGCCTTGTAATGCTGCCTAGGGACACAGATCTTACTGCTCAGACTTCTTGTTGGCTGTTGCTGCCATTATAAGCAACACTTGCGGAATTAGGTATGGCTAAGTCTAGTGTAAAGAAGGGGAGGGGGTGACATGATAGCAGCATTCCAATATTTGAGGGGCTGCCTCAAAGAAGAGGGGTCAGCCTATTTTCCAAAGCACCAGAAGGCAAGACAAGAAGCAATGAATGGAAACTAATCAAGGAAAGAAGCAATCTGGAGAAACTTCCTAACCGTGAGGACAATTAACTAGTGGAATGACTTGCTTTTAGAAGTTGGAAGCTTTTAAGAAGAGATTGGATATCCCTTTGTCTGAAATGGTATAGGGTCTCCTACTTGAGCACGGGGTTGGACTAAATGACATCCAAAGTCCCTTCGAACTCTGTTACTCTGTCATTCTGTTTATCTCTGGTCAGAATTCCTGCCATGAAGTACAGGTGGTCCTTGACTTACAATAATTATTGCCAAGGGAGGCAGTTGTTGAGTTGTGCCTCATTTTATGTCTTTTATGCCATCTTTGTCAAGTGAATCAATTAAGTGAATCATGCAGTCCTTAAACAAATCCGACTTCCCCCACTGACTTCGCTCGTGGGAAGCCATCTGAGAAGATTAAAACTGACTCTGGGTCAGTGCAACTGTCATAATATACATGCCAGTTGATAAGTACCCAAATTTTGATCACAAGACCATGGGGATGCTGCAATGGTCATAAATGCAAAAACTGATCATAAGTCACTAAAAAGTGTTGTAACTTCAAAGAGTCACTAAAAGACTAAGTCAATGACTACCTGTACTCGGATTCTACTTTAAGGAACTCAAGATCTTGACCATACAGCAATTAGCATCAAGGGCCAGCACCTTGTGTAGAGAATTCGTAAGTTCATTATAGCAGTGTGTCTCAACCTTGGCAGCTTTTAAGATGGCTGGACTTTAATTCCCAGAATCCCCTAGCCAGTATGGCTCTGAGGAATTCTGGGAGTTGAAGTCCACCCATCTTAAAGCTGCCAAGGTTGATAAACATTTTATTTAGGCATACTTTTTAATGGACTTTTGGCTTTGGGGTGATTTTTTTTTCCTGTTATGTTTTCTGCCTTCACCTAGGACATCTAACTCTTGAGCTACATGTGAGGACAGGAATTGCCTGTTTCTTTGCTATTGTGCAAATCAGTATTTCTCAAAATCAGCATTTGGGGGTTAGACTAGACAGAAGACCTCCAGGGTCCCTTCCAACTCTTACTGTTATTCTTTAAGACAGGGGTCCCCAACTTGGCAACTTTAAGACTTGTATACTTCAATTCCCGGAATTCTCCAGCCAGCTATGCTGACTGGAGAATTCTGGGACTTGAAGTACACAAGTCTTAAAATTGCCAAATTTGGAGACCTCTGCTTTAAGATGTATGGACTTCCAACTGCTATTCTTTAAGACAAGGGTCTTCAAACTTGGCAAGTTTAAGACTTGTGGACTTCAAAACTCCCAGAATTCCTCAGCTAACATGACTGGAGGAGGAATTCTGGCATTTGAAGTCCACAAGTCTTAAAGCTGCCACGTTTGAATACCCGTTTAAAGATATATGGACTTCCAACTATTATTTAAGATGCATGGACTTCGAATTCCAGAATTCTGCTGACTGAGGAATTCTGGGAGTTGAAGTCGATTCATCTTAAATCTTTGCAGCTCGGCAGTCTCTTATCACTGATTGTCTGAAAATGCAGGAGGAAAAACTCCATCCGAGCCAAATTTTAAAGTCTACCCTATTGATAAAATTCCTCTATGCCTGTGTACAGAATACAGAACAGCCTGCCAAATCAGACGCAAACCCCTTTAGTTCAAACTAAGGACTTCATTCTTAATCCTTTTTCCTCCAACGGTACAATTCATCTCTCCCCCCACCCCCCAAGTTTGACGACGCTGCGCGACTTTAACATTTGTATCTCCCAACACTTATGTGCCGCTCTATATTTCTCCTCTGTGGCTAAACTACTCACCATTCGTAAAATGGGTGGCTAAACTTGTTGTGCCGCTCTACATTTCTCGTCTATGGCTAAACTCATCACTCCCTCCGAGATTGGGAATGAATAGGCAAGCCTCCGCGGCGACATGACCGAGTTCTCGCGCGATTTGAGATGCTCAACCGCTTGGGCGGGTCGTTTGAATGCGAGCGAGTCGCCGCTGGAAGGAACTTTTTGGTTTTGTGTGATCTTGGTGGATATGGAAGAAGAGAAAGTGGCATTTGAGTCTCCCGATGATGCTGACGGTGAGTTCAGGATGCCCTTTATGACTTTCTTTCTGTTTTTTTTATATATAAACATAAAATATTTTATTTATATTCACAACTAAAATAAGAAAATATATTTTAGAAATAATTCAGTTGTTTGGTATTTGAAATATACAGTCTAAACTAATATTAATATTTATTTATTCTATTACTCTAACTGCCCATCTCAATCAGTGACTCTGAGACACTTAAAATTCCAAAATTATAATATTTTAATATTTCATTAACTTAAATAAATAAATAAATATTTAATATTATGTAAAATTGTTATATTTTGCATTATTATAACATGTTATATTGCTATTATAGCATACTATTTTTATAATATGGAATTAACTACTATTCATATGTGTGTGCATGCACACACACACACACACACACACAAACCCTACTTCCCTTTTAGCATTTTTGGAACTGGCCACAATTTTTTGGGGAAACTATTTAATCATAGATGTAATAAAATACAACTACTCTATGTGTTGTTAGTAAAGATATCAACTGTTCTTCATTTTCAACGAAAGAATGCTTTCATTTTTATTTTTGAATTGGTATTATATTAAATATTTCTGCTATCTTTAGGCAAATTTGTAAAAATATTTGTATCCTTAGAAAAGCATGAAAATGTGTAAAAAGTGCAGTGTATAATATTTTTAATTCTAATTTTATATATTTTTATAATACTTCTTAAACTATTTCTGCCTTTGTGTTCCCTCTATCTATGTTATTAAATATTTTTGTATCTATTGCAGATGGGTAAAAATACTTGTTTTTCTTACAAAGTGAAAACGTGTAAAACATTAGTTATTGTAACCTTTAAAACTAAGCCTTAGTCTATTTTTCCTTCCCCCTTAAAGCAAGAAAATGGGATACAATCTCTTCAAACTTAAATGACTTATGCATTCATCTCAACTCCAAGATCTCAAATATCAAAAGGACACTTCAGTTGAGAAAAATAGGTAAGAGCATTTCATTTTCTTTAGGACAGATTTGGTGTTTGCAAATTGATCTGGGAATCTGTTGGGAATGTATGAATGGAAAATGCCAGTCTTATATAAATATTGTACCTGCAGATTATTTCATTCCCTTTGTACAAGGCATAAACTATGCAATTTAGTTGCATAGTTGTGGTATCTGCCAATTGAGATAGTTTTACAATCAGACTGAACAATTATATGGAGAATTAATGCTACAATAATTCCTGAATCATAGGAAGAATATCTTAAACAACAAAAGCATTACTGCTTTCCTCAATGCATCTGTTTAGTCACTGTTTGATGCCACATTTTATTTATTTTTTTGTATCCCACCTTTATTATTTTTACAAATAACTTGGGGCAGCAAACATATCCAACATATCCACCCACCTGCCTCCAGGTGGGCACGGCGGTGGGTGGAAGGAAAGAGAGAGAAGAGAGAGGCGGGAGAATTAATGGGGACAGCGGCTGGTGAAGGCTAGCCACGAGTGAAGCCTGCTACAAACTCTCCAGGCCAGCTATGATTTCAGCTCATTACGAACTTTCAGATCCACTTCTTGCCCCACAGCAGCAGTGGGCGCTAACAATATACATCAGCAGGGCGTCAGCTAGCCATGATGCAACGCTCAGCTGATTGAAGCGACAGATCCGAGCTGGCTGAAGATCGCTGAGCTGATACAGATGGCAGGCAGCATGTTAACTTGGTGGAGGGTGTCAGAGGTCCACTTATTGTAGCTCAGCCTAGTGATGAGCACATTGTGGTA